GTGACTGGGGTACTCGGGATGGATGTGTCAGAAGCAATGAGATTGACACGGGATAGAGCAGGGTTTAGGGCTGTTGTACGTAGGGTCGCTATGAGTCGCAAACGACTCGACGACACATAACAACAACAACAACAACAGTAGATATGTAAATACTCAAGTTTTGATTTTATATTCATAGATTCTCAAACAGCAGCGTGTTCAAGTAAGCACTTTGAAAATTTCTTCACTAATAATACCGCACTTTTGCTTTAAATTGTCAGATTGTTTGAACATTGTCCATATGTTTTCTCTTGCTGCTTTTACTTTTCCTTGAAATTTAAAACTCTGAAACACTTTCTGTTTCGTTTATGGCCATTTCTTCACCAGGAATAGTTAATGTGGGAGCTCTGGTGGCCTAATGGTAGGAGGCTGTACTGCAGTGCCAGAGGTTGAATCCACCAGCTGCTTGCTCCAGGGGAGAGGAGTGGGCACTCTCCTCCCGTGAAGTTTACTGCCTCTGAAAACCTGACAGAGGGTCGGCTATATAGGTCGGTTCCAATTCCACAGTACACAACCGAAATAGCTACTATGATGTTCTGAACTGTCAAGTTAAGTTTTACCTTAAAAAACGTAAGCACTAATGAGTGAATCTGTTTCGTAAGGTTTCTCATCCTTACGAGAACCTTGATATTGCTAGGAAAAGTGGAAGATCAGAGAGAAGACCTTTGGTGAGATGGATTGACACGGGGGCAGTAGCAATGAGCTTAAGTGTGTCAGAGATGATAGGATGACACAGGCTGGGACAGGCTTCAGATCTGTTGTTTATAGGGTCACTGAGAGTCATACTCAGCGTGATGATATATAACAACAGATTTCTTTTGTGAGAGATAAGAACCTTACCAAAAAGTTGGTTCCTAAGTTAGTTGCCCTGTGACACAGATGCATTTTATAAGCTGTCGTGGATGGATCTCTTTAAAGGGAAGCAATATACTCTGAGATACTAATTGTAAATTATAGTATGTTTGTATTAATTACATCTTCCTGCAGTTTTTATCCTGAAAAATCACTTTTCCTTTTGGTTGTGAAAACACTTAGGGCCAGACCGTAATAAGACTGCCTAGTGTTTCCAGGTCTCACAGATTTTCTGTCTTAAAAGAAGTGTTATCATTCATTTTAGTGTTAAATACCTGAAATTTTCTCTTTCTGGCTGATTTCCACCTTACATAGGTTTCAGCTTTTGAAAGTTTTTACTGTATCTTGTATAAAAGTATAAAGATTATTAGTGAAACAAATGCTTAAGAATCTCATTAGATACATCTTAAGTGTGCTTCTTCCTCGGAACTTTAGAATCTATGTATTCCCCCTGTGTTGTGTGGAAAAATGCCTCTTGTTTGCTGAAACTGAGGTGTTTGCTGAAGAAGGTCCAGGAATGCGGCCTTCAAAATGAATTAAAGCGCAACTCAAGAAAAGAAAGATTCTCACCACTGGACCAATTGGCAACATCATGATAAATAGAAGATTGAGATTGTTAACAGCTTCAGCTTGCTTGGTTCCACAGTCAACACTCTTGGCACTGACAGCCAGGAAGCCAAAAGATGAATTACATTGGGAAAATCTATTCTCAGGGACCTCTCTAGAGTACTGAGCAGCAACAATGTCAATCAAGAGACTAAGGTGCACCTGATTCAAACCATGTTTTTCAGTTCCTTGCTATGCATCAGAGAGCTGGACAGTGAATAAGGATTAATAGAAGAAGCATCAATGCCTTTGAGTTGTGATGCTGGAGAAGAGTATTGAACATACCATAGACTACCAGAAGAACGAACAGGTCTGTCCTAGAGAGAGTGAAACCAAGCTGCTCCTTGGAGGCAAGGATTTTGAAACTATCTAATAAACTTTGGGCATGTTGCCTGGAGGGACCAGTCCTTGGAGAATGACATCATGCTTGGAAAGGTGAAGTGACAGCACAGGAGAGGAGGACCCCAGATGAGATGGATTGACATAGTAAACTGGGATAAGGTAACTAGGTGTGTTGGAGACAGAATACTCAGGACAAAACAAGGTTCACTGTACACAGGATCACTGTGAGTCGCAACTCAGCAACACGTAACAACAGACTTTATGCTCTAGAATAAACAGAAGCATCCCACATGCAAAAGCAAGTAGTATTCTGGAAAACAGAAAAGAAAAATAGAGCTAAACATTTGGAACTATATTGATGTCTTATACATTAAGGAAGAGAAAATATTTTTCTTGAATATTTTTTCATTTTTTATTGATTTTCATATAATAATACCTTTACAGTTTGATTCATATACATTGTGGTTTTTACACACTTTCATTTACCTGTGTTTCATACAGTCATTCATATGGTGTCGCATAATTTAATGGAGCGTGTAAGCGAAATGGGAAGGATCTGGTGTGAAAAACAATGTATTCGAATTTTATAAATAAACTAGTATAAAAAATAATGTAAAATAGAATTAAATGTTTAAGACACTAGTGTTAAAGGAGCTTTAGTGGCCTGGTGACAAGAAGCTGCACTGCAATCCCGAAGGCACGTGGTTCGAAGCCACCAACTGCTCCATAGGAGAAGGATGAACAATCCTTGTGCGATTAACTGACTCTGGGTCGGTTCCGACACAACAGTACACATCAACAGTGTTTCTTAATTAACATTGTCTTTGGCTTGTTTACATTGTGTCTCTTTTTTTTTAATGATGCTAAAATTCCTAAAGACAAACATGACTCTTTACTGAACCTTGTTCACCTTCTTTTCAAGGTGTCTGATGGCCAAGAATCTGCGCCTCCAGCACCTGCTCCCACTTCAGGGATTGTGGGCGCGTTGATGGAAGTGATGCAGAAAAGGAGCAAAGCCATTCACTCTTCAGGTGAATGTCGGGATGTGTATAGTTAGTGCATTGGAATGTTTGGCTTTATTGTTTATTTTTATGTCACAATCTTGGCTACATTTTTCTTTGTGAACTGAGTAACCTAATGATCTGGGTTCTGACGTTTATTTGAAGACATTACTGCTTCTTTCTTTCTGAAACTTAATGGGTGCCAGGATACTGTAATTCTAACCAAAATTTTTAAATACTCAAAATTTTTTGCCGTCAAGTCGAAACCCCCTCATAGCTGATGCTCCATTGAATTTTTGGAGACTGTAAATCACTTGGGAGGAGATGACCCACCTTTCTCCCATGGAGCTGCTGGTGGACTCCAACGCTCAGGGGGCACCCACCACCTTTAGACTAGCAGCACAGCCTCCTTTGGTCTGGGCCCTTGGCACCCCCCTGAATTTGAGATAGTGGTTTGGTTTGGGTGGGTTTTTTTCCCCTTAATTATTTTAGTGAAGGTGGTTTCCAAAGAGATTGGTTTCATTGATTCATTCATTCATGTACGTATTTTTTCCTGCCTCTCCCTCCCGCAGTTCCCTTTGCAATATTTGTCCTGTTTCAGGCTATTAATTATCATACACATAGTTTCCAAACTTCCCGTTCCTTTCTGAGTGACTTTATTCCCATCTGTTCCAGAGCAGTGTTCGTTATCTATCCATTGATAGTGGTGTGTTTTACGAGGAAAAACTTTTTTTTAAAATTGTATTTGCTGATGAGAAAGTTTAGACATACATAAGATAGAAAAGGCCCCTCTGAGGAGATGAATTTTGAGTGCAACCTAAATAGTGAGAATCAGTCAGACAGAAGAAACAGCTACTGCAGACCCTCTAAAGCTAGAATAAGCATGGCATGTTTGAGGGACAAGCAGAAAGGTCTGACTGGAGACAGCGAACGAGGAGGAAGCACGTTTGTCTTACAGAATGTGGTAACACCAGATTTGACTCAAATAGCGGTGGTTGGCCACAGGAGGACTTTGACAGGGGTTGTTTTGGGTGGTGGTGGTGGTATGTGCCATCAAGTTGGAACCGACCCTGAGCTGACCCTCCAGCAGATTTTCAGAGGCAGTTAATTGCAAGGAAGGAGATTGTCCATCCTTCCGTGGAACAGTTGGCAGGTTTGAACTGTGTGCCTTTGGGTTGAAAGCCTAATTCCTTACCAGCATGGTAGTCCTACTAAAATATTCTCATTCCATTTGCTCTGAAACATGGAGCTTAGATTTGCAGTGATCTAAACAAGACTTCCTGGTGGTGAGGAAAGTAGCAGTGCTCAGAAGCAGCTGACATGATAGGTTGGGTGTGAAGGATGATGGAAAAGAGGAATGAGTAATAATTTCAAGGATTTTGTCATAATCATTTGTGAAGATTTTAATGTCATTAGTTGAAATGGGACAGAGTAGGAGGGAAGAGCCTGATGATGGAGAAAACAAAGTTTAGAAGTTCTGAGTTTGAGAATCCATGTGTGCAGAGTATTAGGAAAGCACTTCCGTTTGTATTACGCAAGGCACAGCTCAGGCGAGCCCCATGTGATTTTACTTTAACTCGGTGGATTGGTTTTAAGCTATCTTAGTAACTAGATCCCTATGGAGTCAAAGGTTGTCTTAATTCCCTTCTGGAGTCAAATGTTAAACAGTTCAGGCTTTAAATAAAAGGATAAATCATCCCCAAGAATTCTGTAATGGTATTTTTCTTTGTACATTTTTATACTTATTTTCTGACTGCTGCTCTTGATTAATTTTTTTAGATGAAGATGAGGATGAAGATGATGAAGAAGATTTTGAAGATGATGATGAATGGGAAGATTGATCAATATATATTATATATATATTATATATATTTTTAAGGTGAAATACTAAACACTACTTTCTGTCTATGGATTCTGTAAAATTATCATGTAAATGTTCTACCAATTTGCTGTATATTTTTGTTGCCTTTTTTTTGCTTTTTTTAATTAATCTGTGCAATACCTCATTTAATCTGTAAAGGTTTGTCATTTCCTCTACAAAGCTACTCCCTGTTACCGTGTGCAAGTTTACACCTGACTGCTCACTTTATTTGTGAATATTTTTCATTCCATCAACAGGGGAGTTTAAGTATTCTGTGTGAGACTGACAAAAACCTTAATGTAATTTAGTTATACTGCCAGAAGGAAAACACTATTTTCATACCCTACTTTTTCTGTACCTAAATTTTCTTATTAAAATCTAGTATAGCACTACATTCTTTTTTAAGTGATGCAAACCTTAGTTTATTTAGCCCCTTCATTTTCAGTACAATGCTACATGAATGTTGAAGCTCATACATTGCACAGTTCTTGACATCACTACACTGATGCAATTTCTCAAATTTTAGCAGCTTGCTCTGCATTAAATCAGTGCAGAGATGCAAGTGGGGGAAAAGCAGTCAGGCGCCTCTGACGGCAGCATTGCCTGAGCTGAACAGCAGTGGCAGTTGAGGCTGGAACCACCAGGAGCCCTTAGGTCTTGCACTTGACTTAGCTTATCTTTGTGCCAGACCAAATGCTGCAGGCTCTTTTGGCAAAACAAGTTGTAAAATATTTCTGGTATTCTGAATCAGAAAATATATGCAAGTTGTTGGAGTTCAGGGTACTCTGGGGGAGATTTGCTTTCTACATGAGCTAAAGGTCTATTGGTCAGACCTTTGTAAAAGTAGTGTGGAAAAATAGGAGTGCTTTTCCGCTTACATGGATGGAGATACTCAGAAATACCAAAATTTAAATCTAATCTAGAAAATTGCAGACGTTACCCTGTAATAATATAAAACGCAGTTTGATGATTTATATTTTGAAAATTTCTCAAGGTTTTTGTCAAAAGTCAGATGAAAGTTTGCAGATTTTTTTTTCTTCAAAAGAGTGGTGATCCTGGTATCAGATTTCTTGGACCACAAAACCAAATGATAGGCTTTTCTACAAATAAAATTTTACAACCTGCACATTTGTTGTGCATACTAAATGATGTGTTAAAATGAGGGTTTTCTTGCCTCGCTGCAGTGCACTGATCTGCCCCAGGCGGTGATTTCATAGTCATAGCGCTGTCGTACCTACCTATTTTAAATTTTAGGTAGAAAATGCTCTGATTTAAATACAGACATATTTTTCTCACATTGAGTCATATGCAGAATGTAGTTCCAAATGTATTTCATTGCTATAATCACAATATCCAACTAAAAATTAAGCTGTCTAGAATTGTACCGGCCAGAATCTAGTATTGGCATGATCTTGACAGGCTGGCCCTGCAAGATGTGGCTTGAATTTTAACCAATTATCACATAATCTCTAGCGATCATGCATCTAGTTCTAGTAAGAAATCATTTCAAGGGTTTTGTTGCTAAAAGCAGTAAGTGGTGCCGTAAAATAGTTAAGTTATTCAGAGAATGTTAACCTTTCTTGAAAGAGTAATTTAAGCACATGGAAAAGACTCTAGACTTTTTTATTTCTTGCAAAAACAGTGCCCTCTGCTGCTGGAAACCTTTTTAGAAACCTTTTTACACTTTTATTTTTATCGTGGCTTGAGCTCAGTGAGTCTGATGTGGGTGAGGCTGGACGACTATTACCTGAAGGAATTAGGAATTTGTGCAAATGATAAATAGAACATTCTAATTTTAAATAACAGGATTTTTTTTTTTTTTTTACTTTCTTGACGTTAGTGGAAAACTTTAGCATTTTCTAGAAATAATCCTTAAAGTCATGCCAATTTAAGATCTCACAACTTTTGGCCAAGAAATTCAGTTATTTCCAGCCAACTTTGGTATAATAAGAACTTAATCGGGAGCCCCTCTGAGCAGAGGATATCAGTTCTTTGGGTTAGAAACACAATATTAAGTGTGTAAGAAGGTGTATAATTTGCCAAAGGGTAATTGAGTTTAGTCTTTTTAAATTGTTGCACAAAGTCTGGATTGCCTTTGTTTGGAACACAGTGGCTGTGGTATTCCGTCCAGGCGTGGCACTGGTTCTGCTTTACCAAGTGAGGCGTGAGGGTTGCATGTTTCAGTCTTCCACCATCTTGCACTGCGGGCAGCACTGTTCTGTGCATCGTCCGAAACCCTCCCATATATACTCCAGCTAAATGATTGTCCGGTAGCCTTCGCATTTAACCAACTAGCATGAGGCTTTTTCTGTCTAAACGCTATGTGATAGACAATTTCAGCTAGCCACAAATTGTATGTATGAGATTCATAAAGATTTTCAATCATTCATTTCCATTTATCAACTGAAATTTTGTTTAGTATGTGATTTTTTTTTTCCTCGAACTGTATAGTGAATAGGATGTTGCACTGGTGGCAATTCATCATGGAGCATAATAAAATTAATTTGACCCAAATAGCATCAAATAGTGTGCTTATTGCTTATTTCTCTATTGTCAAGAGTGTTTCTTTTCTGTTAAGAGATTTGAGCTTAGAACTGTTAGGTATGGCGAAGGCTTCACAGGAGTGAATAATAATGGCAGAGTTTTTAGAAGACCAGTGGCCTTCAGACTTAGGGAGCGTGTTAAACGAAGACGGTGAGCAGAAGAATGTTCCACCTGTTCCTTCAGGAAGCATGGCAGCTGCTCCGCCGTTCTGCAGAGCACACTCGTGGCGTCTCGAGAGCAGTCACACCATGAGGTCAGCAGCTTGGGATTCTTGCACTTAGCGAAAATGTCAGCATGCTCTACACCAGCCTGATACGGGAGTTCACTGGCAATTTCAAGGTAGACCCGAAATAGCAATTCATGTGGGACTTGAACAGCTTCTAATAAACAACTTCAAAGAGGTGCTCATTTTAAACAGGAAAACTCAAGCTTTTTTTTTTTTTTTCTTCCTTGTGAGAAAAATTCATATTTAGAATTAGCCCGCTGGACTCAGTTTAGATGATCCCAATTTTGTTGGCAACATCCAAAGCATCATAGTCAGGAGCAAGTCGAACATAGGCCTTCTTCTCTCCATCAGGCCTAATCAAAGTGTTGACCTTGGTCACATCAGTGTCATAGAGCTTCTCTACAGCTTGTTTAATTTGGTG